TAAGGGTCCCTATTAGGGGTCCCTTCTAAAGTCCTTAGAGAAACTATACTATGCTGATTCCTTCATCACCCTCTTAGTTATTGGAGCAAAGCCACTCGCACGAACACCTAAACCCCAAATCCTCAACCCAACCCCCAAAACTTAACGACGCAAGCCCGAAACCCAAACCCCCCCCAATCCCCCCAGAACCGAAACCCTAAACCCTAAACCCTAAACCCTAAACCCTAATCCCTAAACCCTAAGAGCCGAAAGCCCTGAATGGAGAGCAACCTCGGCCAGGCGGACGTCCAACAGCAGGCAGAGCAGTTCCACTTGGAGGATCGTGGGACTTGGTAAGTAAGGTTATAAATAAGGAGTTTAGTGTTTGGGGTTTAGAGAGAGTTTAGGACTTAGGGTTATAAGTACCCTAATTGGGGTTAGAATTATAGTTACCTTATTTATAACCCTAGTTACTAAGTCCCATGATCCTCCAAGTAAGGTACTTGAGGCTCATGGGACATAGTCAGGAAGGCTTTTGGTAAGATATGATTAGGAGAACCTAGTAAGGGCACCTGTGGCCCCAATTATAATAGGAGCAGTTTAGGGCAAAGGGTTTAGCACCTCGGGTTTATGGCTTCGGGTTTTAGGGTTTAGAGACGAAGAAAAGGGAGTGCTTCGGAACTTCGGACAGTCCTGGCATTCTAGGAAAATCCTTGAACCCCGAACAGCATAGCAACACCCAATCACCCTGAACCCTAAACCCTAAACCCTAAACCCTGAACCCTGCTCGAGGTTTCTGCGATTGTCGGGATCACGCCTTGGTTGAAGCCCTACTAAGCTGTAACCCAAAACCCGAAACCCAAAAGAACAAACCGCAAGTGCACAACTGTCGGAGCCAATGCTTGTTCCTCAAGCTTCTCAGAGAGCTCAATACCCCTCAATTAAGGGATATACGTTATGTTATAGGGGGCGTAGTTTTATGATTTAAGTTGCATTCCTTCCTTATTTGAGCCTACAAGTATGATTCAAGGTATACTTATTATTACTTATTGGGCTCTGTGGGTTCGTAGGGCCGCAGCCGCTCTCAACCTCGGCCCTAAGGCCTCAAACCCGAAAGGCCTAAATAAAGGCCAAAGACTAAACTCTAACCCTAAACCCGACCCCGAAACCTTAAACTCTAAACCCCAAAGCCTGACCCTAAACCCTAAACCCTAACCCCTAGAACCCTAAACCCCCCTGAACCGCTAAAGCCTAACTCTCCCCAAGAGTCTGATACTGCTGAACCCAAAGAGCTCCGAGGCTAACCCGGGCCTGAAGTCCTACGGCATCGACCCCGAAACTCTTACTGGTTAAGGGTCTAGGGTTTAGGGTTTAGGGCATAGAAGCTTGAGTAATACCAACATGATTCCTTACGGCTCCTCCTTATCATAATCTTGCCAGTACAGCTATACTGTCTCATACTACTAACTATACTCTTATACTATACTATACCGTTGCATACCTTCAAGCTTTTTTCTAATGCTTAAGGCCCCGAGTATGGAAGCTTGAAAAATTATCTGTACCTTTTTTGAGGATTCCCTATCATAAATACAGTATCATATACTCCAAAACCCTATTCTAATTATTAAGGCCCTTACCTGACAAATAGAAGAGGGTTTTGAGTATAGTGTGGCATAATTCTCATGGAAACCTTCGAAGAATAGTATCGGTAATTATATATTTGGGCTTTATAATGAGCCCGAAGCCCTAACCCCTCATATCCCTTGCCGCGGGAGGATAGTAGTACGGTTGATGTAAATCCTGCATTACCCATAAACCATAATCGGGCATATACCATAATTCCCATAGTTTAGGGTCCTTAAGGTAACCATGCAGTATATATAAATGCATATATATATATATAGATATCATCATCATCATCATCATCATCATCATGAACAGTATCTCCCCAGACCTGAAGCCGAAGAGATCAAGTCAGATTGCCAAAGGAGTTCCTCGCGGTGACGGTCCGGAGCCCAACCGGCACAACGCCTTGCCTAATTTGGGGGCCTGAATGATTACCTATACTATTTTGGGGTTCCTTATTATAATTATAGTATCATAGGCCCCACAACCCGATTCTAGTTATTAAGGCCCCTATATTACTGTGCTTCTCCTGTTGCTTTGCTGTGTCACACCCTGTCAGAGTGCTGCTTTCGTGAGCTCTCAGATGTTTGAGCTCCGATGTCATTGCTGAATTTCAATTTCGCTTGAGGGTTTAGGGAAGGTTTAGGATTTAGGGTCTAGGGTCTAGGGCTTAGGGTTTGTAAGGTTTAGGATTTAGGGTTTAGGGTTTAGGGTTTAAAAGGTTTAGGAATTTGGCTTTAGGGTCTAGGGTTTAGGGTCACTGGCTGCAGCGTTGGTGCAAACCTGTGCAAAAGGCCGACTAGATCGCTTTAATTGCAGACGGGCACTACCAGCACTAGCCTTACCAAACCCCTACTTGGAGGATCATGGGGCTTCGTAAGTAAGGTTATAAGTACCCTAATTGGGGCTATAATCATAGTTACCTTATTTATAACCCTCCCATGATCCTCCAAGTAAGATCAGGCTCCTCAGACCCTAGAGTTCTCTAAACCCCACCCTACACCCCGAAAAGGCACTCCCCAGCTGCAAACCCTAGGCTCTGAATCCGCAGATCACCGAATCCTTCAACCCTAAGCCCTTTGTGCTTTAGCCCCTGTGCACAACCCACAGAGTCCAAGGAAACTCAAAAGGAGCCCTGTAAAACACTATGAAATCCTGATAAAGCCTTAGAAAAGCCTTTCAAACAGTATTTTAAAGCGATCTGCAACATCCCTAATATAGGGGGCCTGAACAATTACCACTACCATTTTGGGGGCTTCAAATAATTTTAATAGTTTTGTATAACCCAAAGCCCTATTGCATTGATTAAGGCCCCGATATAAGGCCCTAAACCCTAAACCGTAAACCGTAAACCCTCAACCCTCAAACCTCAACCCTAAACCCTAAACCCTAAGCCCTAAACCCTAAACCCCTGAACCCTAAACCCTAAACCCTAAACCCAAAACTCTCAACCCTAAACCCTAAACCCTCAACCCTCAACCCTAAACCCTAAACTCTAAACCCTGAATCAATGTTATAATTTCAGTTCTATTCCTTCATTCCCTTATGGATCCCTTCTAGATCCCTTTAAGGAGCCCTTAAAGGGTATATTTTGATTAAGGGGTATTGACCCTAAATCCTCAACCCTAAGCCCTAAACCCTAAACCCTAAGATCGCACAGAAAAGGCCACAACACTTACACAAAAAAACTCTAAGTCCCTAAACCCTGAGGCAGATGCCACCCTAAACCCTAAACCTAAACCCCTAAAGCCCAAACCCTCAACCCCTAAACCCCAAGCCCTAAACCCCTAAACCCTAAACCCTAAACCCTCAACCCTAAGTCCCTAAACCCTAAACCCTACACCCCAAACCCTAAGTCCCTAAGCCCTAAGGCAGATGCCACTCAGAAGGAGCAGGCTGGCGAGGCCTGGGAAAGAAGCGCCGGAGGGTTGAGCCCCAAAGGGGGCTTTTGGGTTTTGGGTTTTAGGGATATTTTTTAGCTTTTGGGGTTCAGAGTGTAGGGATACTTAGGGGTTTCGGGCTTTTGGGGTTCAGAGTTTAGGGATAGTTGGGGGCTTTTGCGTTTTGGGTTTTGGGGGTTTTGGGTTTTGGGTTTTGGGTTTTAGGGTTTTCGGGTTTGGGGCTTTGGGTTTAGGGATATTTAGGGTTTGAGGGTTGAGCCCCAAAGGGGCTTTTGGGGTTCAGAGTTTAGGGATCTTTAGGGTTTTTGGGTTTAGGGCTTGGGATTAGGGATATTTAGGGTTTGGGGGTTTAGGGTTTTGGGGGTTTAGGGCTTTGGGTTTAGGGATATTTAGGGTTTTGGGGTTTAGGGCTTTGGGTTTAGGGTTTTGGGTTTTGGGATCTTTTGGGGTTTGGGGTTTTGAGTTTAGGGTTTTGGGTTCAGAGTTTAGGGATATTTAGGGTTTTGGGGTTTGGGGAGGGCTTAGGGTTTAGGGATGTTTCTAGGGTTCAGTGTGTTAGGGCTTTTGGGCTTTTAAAGGCTCTGTAATTGTTTAGCGCCTAGGGTTCTTGAGGCTCTAGGGGGGGTTAGGGCACAGAGTTTTAGGGTTTTTTCATGTGACTTTGGAGAGCTCAGCACTCCTCAAGACATACTGCTTGAAGGGTATCGCCTCTATGTAGGATCGGAGGAGTACCCCTATAGACCTTAATACCCCCTACAAGACCATACAGGCAAACTCATTTAGAGTTGTAAACAATGACAACTCACAGCCCCACGCCAACTAGAACTGTTGGTGTAAAAAATATAGTACACTATAACCCCCGAGCACTCTATTCCAACTGTTAAGGCCCCGACACTCCACGCTGTAGAGCCGTATTAAGTCCTATGAATGACACCTGGTAGCATCCTAAAAAGCCCTATTCGAATACTCAGGGCACCTACAATATGGGTTGTTCTCTAAATTAGGGTCCCTTTTTAGGGTCATTTTTATAAGGGTATCCGGGGGACCTAAAAAGGGACCCTAATTTAGAGAACTACCCATATGTGGATTCTCCGAGGACGTAAAATCCCACACAACCGTACATCCCTCAATGCTAAACCCGGCCAAAAGCCTAGACCCAAAAGCCTACAACCCTCGACCCTCAACCCTTATTGAACCTTATAGAACCTTATAGAAGCATAGACAACCTGAAAGCACCTTATAGAACCTTATACAACCTTATAGAACCCTATAGAACCTTATACAAGCTACAGAACCTTATAGAACCCTTGTAGAACCTTACAGAAGCCCTTAAGCCCCAAAAGCTTCGCAGATCCCAAAAACCCAAGTCTCTGGGACCCTTCGCCCGAAGGCAGTGAAGATCGCGGCCCCGGAGGTGAGCGTCGCCGATGCTCAGGAGTACTACTGGGAGGTTCAGGGACTTACTGTTGATAGATAGATAGATAGATAGATAGATAGATAGAGATATAGATAGAGAGAGAGAGAGAGAGATATATATATATATATAAAGCCTGCATTACCTTAAGGGCCCCAAACTATGGGAACTATGGTATATTCCTTATTATGGGTAATGCAGGATTTGTATCATCAGCCGTAGTTACTAGGGTTATCAGTAAGGTAACTAGACTTGTAACTGTTTATAACCTCAACGAAGGTACGTGTAACTCTGCTTTTTAGGTCCCGTGAACTTCCAAGCACGGCCCTAAATCTAGGACATTTTCAGGTGGGTAGTTACCGTTATAGGAGCCTTGTAGAAGGTCTATATATATTATAGAAGCTTTATAGAAGCCTTATATACCCTGAACTCACCACCTGTAGTTTCCTTTAACTAAATCCTAAACCCTAAACCGTGCCCGGGCTAGAATTCGGCCTCGGCACGGGAGTTCAGCTGTTCAGCCCGTTGGCTGACGAGAAGTAGTTTAGTATACGGGCCTAGCAACTTTCCAATAGTATTTTGGTGGTTCCTTATCATACTTATATATAAGTATACGATAATATAACCCAAAACCATATTCCAATTATTAAGGCCCTGTACCCTAAGCCCATATAGTAGCACTTGTAGAACCCTTTATTCTAATTATTCAGGCCCCTATACGTTAAACCCTGATAGTAGCCTTTATAGAACCTTTAAGGAACGCCTTAAAGGAACCCCCAAAAACCCTGTTCTAATTGTTAAGGCCCCTACCTTAGTTTGGCTTGGGCCTTTTTGGTTTTGACCGTTTGGGGTCGCAAGTGTTTTAGGATTACGGGCCGAGGCTTCAGCCACGAGGGCTTTTTAGGGTTTAGGGTTTTAGGGCTTTAGGGTTTAGGGGTTTAGGATTTTCGAGTTCAAGGTTTGGTTAGGGTTTTTGAGCTCCGGGTTGGGGGTTTTGGCCCTGCGGTTTAGGATCTAGAGTGAAGAGTTGAGGGCCTTAGGAACAATTAGGGTTTAGGGTTGTAGGGTTTTAGGGATTTAGGGTTTTGGATTTAGGGGTTTGGGTTGTAGGGTTTTAAGGTTTCAGGGTTTAGGGTTTAGGGGTTAGGGTTTAAGGTTCCGGGTTTCGGTTTTCGACGTTTTGCAGTGCCAAGCTTTGGCTGGACAGTCTGATAGCTATGGTCCCTGTAGAGCTCTACCATAATATAGCCCCTAAGGCCGATTCTAAGCATCCAGGCTCCTATACGAAACTGTGTATGTCGTAGGACTTTAGCCATTGCCCTAGTCTAATCACACTGTTCTATGAAATATAGGGGCCCACATGTTCCTTGGGGGGGTGCGTGTTATGGGTATGGTATATAATATCAGCACATACCTGAAACCCCAAGCGCTTCGACCTTGAACTCCATGCCGCCTTCCGAAACCGAACGTGCAAAGACTGGCGATCTGCAGCACCAAGCCTAACCCTTGCCATGGATACCGAAGTGTCGATTTTTTAAACCGTAAGAAGCCCGTTGAACCCTAAACCCCAAGCCCTACACCTTAAACCTTGAACCTTCGATACAACCTGATGAAACCCGTATGGACCCTTTGTGAGACTCTCTCGAAAACTCAAAAAAGCTGTGGCCGAGATCTCCAAAACTCCAAGGCCCAGAACTGCAACCTAACGACGGAAGAGTCTTTAGGGTTTAGGGTTTAGGGTTTAGGGCTTGTCAAGATCTTGCAAAACCCTCCTCTAAGTCGCACGAAGTTCCCGAAAGCTACGGAGGAGATGTGATCGAACCTGTGAAAGCTTCATGAAGCCCCTATGAAGCCCTTCTGAGGCCCAATCGAAACCTAAACCCTAAACCCTAAACCCTAAACCCTAAACCCTAAACCCTAAACCCTAAACCCTGCGGAGGAGATCGAGCTGCATGAGAACCCCTACGTCGCCACGAGCACCACAGCTGAGGGTCTCGCCTTGATCTTCATGATGGTGGCCAGGGCCTCGGTCACCTTGGGGTTAGGGTTTGTGCGGCTTACTGTTTTGAGAGTTGTTGGGTTTTAGGGTTTCGGGCCCCTAAACCCTAAACCCGAAACCCTAAACCCTTGCAGTTTTAGGCTTCAGGGCATCTTTATGATGGTGGCAGAGGACTCGAAAAATCCTTGCGTTTACGGCTTTGGGGTTTTCGAGGTTTTTGGGTTTTGCGGTTTGAGGGTTTTAGGGTTGAGGGGTTTGGCTTTTAGGGTTTTTGGGAGTGATGGTGAGGGTACTATAGAGATACGTAGAGAGTTGTATAGCGGTTCTAAGCGGGCTCCATAAGGTTTCCAGCGGCTTTGCTTGTGCTGAAATCCCTAAACGTCGAAACCCTACATGCTAGACCCCAAGTCCTAGAACCCTGAACCGTAAATCCTAAACCCTATGGGCTTTGCAAGAACCAGTGGGTGTGATGGTCACAGCAATAGCGGTATTCTGAATGCGACTATTTTGAAGACTGAGTCGTACTGACAGCAGTCACCACCAGCATAAGTAAGATCTAGGGGCCCGCCGTGATCATGACAATGACTGCCACGACAATAACATTATTGTCATCGGTACTACTACAGCGACAGCGCCGGTTAAGAAACAGTTCATTTTTCGTGAGGGGCGGCTCGATTTCTTTTTTTTGAAGCGCACCCTTTTTCACAGTAAAAAAAACGTTTCGGGATTTGAGCATACCCCGGATTTCTTAACACAAATTTCTTAGTTTGAAAAGGCTAAAAAACTAACCGCACAGAAATCAGAAGACTGAGAGGCTCGAGCCCGGAGCAGCGATAAGCCCATGGGGCATCCTAAGGTTCTGGGCTTGCCTAATAAAAGCTTAATACTTGGAGGATCATGGGACTTAGTAAGTAAGGTCATAAGTACCCTAATTGGGGTTATAATTGTAGTTACCTTATTTATAACCCTAGTTACTAAGTCCCATGATCCTCCAAATAAGGGCTTTGTTAAGACCTAATAAGAGCTTTGGAGTGCTCCAGAGGCCCCATAAGCGCTGAATAAAATCTTTCTAAGGCTTTGTCATATTAAAAAATATAAGAAATTGAAGGGCTCCATTCTTTAAGTTTAAGAAATTGAGGGGCTCAATTTCTTATTGTGGGGGGTTCTGGGCTTGCCTACTCAGGGCTTATTTCGGGCTTTATTAAGTCCTCTAACAGCTTTGCAGGGCTCTAGAGTCTACTCCAGAGGCTCCATAAGGGCTTAATAAAGGCTTTTTAAGGCTTTGTCATATGCAAAAAACCATCAAACTAGGAAATTGAGGGGCTCGATTATTCAAATTTAAGAAATCGAGGGGCTCAATTTCTTATTTTGGTGGCTACTGCTACTGCTACTGCTACTGCTACTGCTACTGCTACTGCTACTGCTACTGCTACTGCTACTGCTACTGCTACTGCTACTACAACGGCTGCTGCTGCTTGCTGCTGTTCCGGTCATTTCACGGGTCTTCCAAGGGCCTAAGAAGGGTTTTGAAGGGTCTATTGGGGTGGTTGTCAAAATTAGGGTCCCTTTTGGGGTACCCTAAATAATAGGTGCCGTATTATAATAAGGACCCCAAAAGGGCCCCTAATTTTGACAACCACCCATAGGGTTTTACAAAACATATTGCGTGGAGTTCGATTAGTTCATCGCGGGGGGGGGGTCCCCCTCTTGAACTTGCCGAGTCCTGCGTCATCTGCTATTTGGAGTGCTGCAAGCTGCTCGCATGCACTTGGAATGTTTTACGGTTTCAGCTGGATGGGAGTAGTGCGTAGTCGTTTTGAAGGGAGCATTCAAGCTCCTTCAACCCTAAACTTGACCATGATTGCGATGATTACCATGGCTGCTCTCGCAACTTGGGGATCAGCTGACAAGGCAGCTCGGGTCATTGTCATCGCGATTTAGAACTCGTCGTAGTCGTCGTAGCAGTCGTAGCAGTGCCAGCAGCAGTAGCAGTAGCAGTAGCAGTGGCATTGGCGGTGGCAGCTGCAGTCGCAGCAGTAGCAGTAGCAGTAGCAGTAGCCGTAGCCGTAGCCGTAGCCGTAGCCGTAGCCGTAGCAGTAGCAGTAGCAGTAGCAGTAGCAGTAGCAGTAGCAGTAGCAGTCGCAGTAGCGGTCGCAGTCGCAGTCGCAGTCGCAGTCGCAGTCGCAGTCGCAGTCGCAGTCGCAGTCGCAGTCGCAGTCGCAGTCGCAGTCGCAGTCGCAGTCGTGGTAGTAGTAGTAGTAGTAGTAGTAGTAGTA